GGGCGGCCCCGGCGGGGCTGCCCAGAGCCCCGCAGACGCAGAGCTCACCCCGCTCCCCGCCTGGCAAAGCCGACTGCCACCCTCCTCTCTGAAAACGGAGAGCCCTCGTGCAGCACCTCAACAAGCTGGGGGGTATTTTGCCACTTGACTTCCACGGGACGCGTATATTGTCTTAATAAAGCCCCTCTCAGCACAGCTCGCAGCCACGCTCCCGCAAGGTCCTGAGCTCGGCAAAGCACTTAACGTGCTAGTGCCGATGCTCGGGGCTAGCTCGGGTCGGGCGCACCGGCCAGGGCCACGACGTCTGCTCCTCGCCACGGCACACAATAAAAGATGCACTTGAACATTTCGGTCCTGTTAGTGGAAACGACTGTATAAAATGGGAAACAACCCCGGAGATGAAACATACCTGCAGCACTGGTTTAAAGGCACCAATATGGAAAGTTCATCATGGGAGTATTTTCCAAACCTGTTAAAAGATAAGAGCAAGAACATGACAAAGGCTGTTTTAAAGACTGACTTTTTTCTTTTCTTTCCCCAGAAGGATTATTAAAGGTATTTACCCTCTTCCATTATCTAAGTGGATAATAAATGTTTCATTTCCAAACTTCTCAAAGGTTTCATAGTGATGTCGATCCATGTTACCTACGGAACAAAGAGGAAAAAAAGCCCGTTCTCACTCCGGCTTGCTGCTGAGCCTGCAGGTCAGGGGAAGACAAAAGCTACGGTTCAGCGAGAAGCCCCGCGCTCCCCAGACACGACGGCTGTGTAGAGTGGAGAAAACAATGGGTCTGCTGAGCTCACGTGCTTCACTGTGGAAAGCCCGAAGTGTGTGATACTGGAAGATGGGCTGTTATGCCTCTGGGAGCTTTTCAAGCTCTCCGTAGCTTTTATACTTAAGCTCTAGAGGACCCATCAGGAGATAGAATGAACCTTCCCACCCTCCAGCAACTCCTCCTGGGGTGCTCCAAGGAACTCTCTCTCAAGTATGATGGCATCTCGACTGCTCGGGAAGCCTGGTCTCCATGAGGTAGCTATGTCCTAAGCCAGCAGAGCTTTATGGGTGAAAGTGAGCCCTGCTGCTCCAGCCCTGGGTCAGTACGGCGTGCACCGTACGTGTGCAGGGTGCGAGGCTTAGCTTAGGGAGGGGAAAATGCATCCTTCAAGCAGGGATGTTAATCCATATGACTTTGCTAATATTGTATTAAACTTTTTGAACCATGACCAAACATCCTGTTTTTCCTCTAATAAGAACTTTGTCCAAATTTCTGGCTGCCTGGAAAGCCGAAACGATATTATGGCTCTAACAGACGGATCAGGATGCTACTGCAGTGGTACAGCTGAACAGCTCTCCTCGGGCACCCATGGCAGGCAGACGCATGATCTGCTTTTTAAGGTCAATGTGCAGAGTACTGGTGCCAGGCTATGAATTTTGTCTTCATGGCGGGGCTCTTGAGCCACTTATAGATGCCACACATGGCTCCTGAGCTGTGATTTGCCCTCTCCTGCTGCAGCCTATTGCAGAAATCTCAGTAGTGGCAATGGCAGAGGTTATGGCCATGCTGGCATGTGTCCGAGGATCAAGTATGTCTGTTAGCAACTTACAGGTATATTAGCTGCAGCAGAACAGGTTTCATATGAGAATGTCTCGGTGTTAACCAGTGTGTAGGCTTGGAATAGGTCTCTATTACCTGCTTGTTAATAATTATTTTGTTCCGATCAGGTTACATAAACAAACAAACAAAAAAACGTCCTGATACACACCACAGTTGCCTTTGCGACAAAGCAACACTTCTTTTTTCCCCCCGTGACAGTTTATAGACCAAGCAGCAGTGAATACTACTGCACGTTGAAAACAATGTGCCAATAATGAACAGTCCTTGCATGTGTGTCTGGGAACCATACATTACAATGGTAAAGCTCTCACTAAAGCAAGCTGTGAAGCCCTTAACTGTTGTGAAGGAGACTAGCCTGACCTGTGTTCATCATCACTCTGCACTTCTGAACATCTTTGTTCCTTTAATCGGCACTGATGGGAATACATAACCATGTAAATCTGCATTTTCTCATAATCATCTAGAATGGCACATACCGTAAATGCAGCTTCAACCATGCTTTAGCAAACTGCTGAGCTATGCAGAGTGGTGTAGAAAGAAATGGTTCTTATTCTAATTAAATGTTGCATTTAATTTTTGAAAGAGATGAAACATACCCATTAGGAAATCAAAAACTGTCATATCCATTATATCCAGAATTCTGGTCCCACTGTCATACGGGGGTGTTTGTTTAACCTCTTCACAATAATCTGGATCAACTTCCCATCTGGAAAAGCCAATATTTTGATATTTTATGTGACATACAAAGCCTACTATTACCAAAAAAATGTTATTTTGCAAAGATCTAGTTGTATCACGTTTGATTGAGGGCAGGGTCAGGTAGAGGCAGCACATTCTTCAGGCTGCTTCCAGTAATGCAGGCAACCGATAAAGACTGTGACTGATGAAAAAGGAAGAAAATCACAAGATTGAAAACTATCTGGCTAATAGCTTCAAGATTTAGGAGACCAGCTGCACCATCAGTCATATGATGAAAACATCTGAGACTTGTTTAGGGCTCCTGATAGCAGTGAATCTTTCTTCCACTGATAGGAGTTAGACAGGTCCCGTTGCATCCTGTCAAAGCCCCTGGAGGTATCTGTCCCATGAGAGAATTATGCCATTGAAGGTCCTGTTAGGTTCAGGACCATAAGCTGGAGCTCCCTGCAAGCGTAAGTACTCTGTCCCTTGATCAGGAGCTGGACCCGCTGAAGAAATACAGGTGCTCTCCTAAGCCTCAGTGCTTTAGAACAGGCAAGAATGGTAACTGCAGCACTGTTTTGTTTTCCTATCACCCTTTGCGGCTGGCAAACCCTTTGCTCACCACTACTCACTCTGCTTTCTTGCGCTTGTGGTAGGAACGTCTCCAAGGGTTTCTCCAGGTTTTCCTTTTAGCTAAAGACAAATCAGGTAGGAAAGCAGCCAGAGACCCTTCGATCTGATCTGGTTTTCCACACAGGGCGTGCTCTGTTGAGCAGTAGTAGGAGCACTCTCCATAGAAGCAGATGTTGTTGGCTGGCAAATAAAGGAAAACAGTTTTAAACCCTTACGTTCAAGAATTCATAAAAGCACTGATGCATGTATGAGCAGAAATAAATCTCAGACCCAAAACCCCGTTACCAGACATAATTTTCTTCCACTGGAACCACTAGAAAGACATTCATTTCAGTGGCTGGGATCACGCCCTGTGCTGAGGTCTCTGTGGCTATTTCTGGTCTATTTATGTTCCAAAAAAACCCAAATTTATTTTTTTTTTAAATCCTTTCCCTTCTTCTTTCATTTTCCCAGACTGATACGTCCTTTGGGATATATTTGGTACCCCAGGCTGGAACCCCAATTCCCACAGCTGAACAAGCGGCACGTGCCCAAGATTTACTCACCTTCCAAAATCTTGGCTTGTTTAAGAATAAACAACAACATTTCATTCATTTACATGCTGGTATGAGAAGAACTGTCAGTTCTACTAAAGAGAATTATTTACCATGAAGGCTTATGTGGGGGTGTATGTGGAAGGTGGAAATAGCAAAGATGTAACTCTGTCAGCACACATCCCAAACACAAATTTCTTTCTCCACACATCACATTAACAACCACAGAAAAAGAACCTGCAGCAGGAGCGTGTGTTACCTTAAAACCTCCCTAAAGCCGCCACCA